CACACACACACACACACACACACACACACACACACACGAGTTTCTAGTTACTCTACACTCCATCACATCCCAGAACAATTGAGATCACGCGTCAGGTAGACCAGCTGGTCCCTGAAACTCATATTTGGCCCGGTTTCATCACGGACCCAGCTTCAATAAGGGCAGCTCTCAGAGAAGCCACCGTCATTTCCAAAACATTTTCTTTCTACTTGAGCCCTTGCTATCAGCTCCTCAATTTTTTCTCTCCCACTCTCGTAAACCCTTGATAAATTATTATTATTTTCATGTCTTATACCATCTGCTGTCTCCTTTCATCCATGTTCCTGTTGTTCGTCCCCCTGTGTGTGGGGGGGTGTTTATATGTCAATCATTGCAATCAGTTCCCCCTTTCTCCTCCCAACTTCCCCCTACCCTCATGGTATCGCTACACCCACTGCTCTTCTTGAGGGGTTTATCTGTCCTGGATTCTGTGTGTCAAGAGGTCTTATCTGTGCCAGTGTCCATGCGCTGGTCTAGACAGATTTGTAAGGTAGAACTAGGGTCATGATAATGCAGGAGAGGAAGCATTCAAGAACTAAAGGAATGTTGAATGTTTCATCAGTGCTATACTGCATCCTGGCTGGCTCATCCCTTCATAGGGACCCTTCTGTGAGGAGATGTCCAGTTGTCTACAGATGCGCTTTGGGGCTCCACTCTGACCCCCCTCACTTGCACTGATGATTGTGTTGGGTCCTTTGATGCCTGACGCCTGATCCCATTACAGGCTGGTGTGCTTCTTCCATGTGGATTTTGTTGCTTTTCAGCTAGATGGCTGCTTGTTTACCTTCAAGCCTTTACCACCCCAGATGCTATATCTTTTTATAACCGGGCACCATCAGCTTTCTTCACCACATTTGCTTGTGCACCCATTTTGGAAGACGACTTTTTTTTGAGTTCTGAACAGAGAGCTCAGTGGCTGGTGACCTCTGTCTGCACAGTAGTGCCCTGGAGGGGGTGCCCGAGAGCTAGGCACGCCTTCTTACTCCTGGGCAGGCAGATGACAAGGTGGATCCTAGGAGTCAGCACTCGTGAAGCTGTCCAGGGTGGCTGCTGGGCTGGTCGGTGGGGACCATCCTGAGAAGTGAGAGTCCCAAGCATCCCCGCTGCTTCACCGACCTTGGCAATACCCAGGCCATGGAGTCTGATCCTCTGGAGCAAGGGACCCATCCTCTTGGTCAAGTGCAGGTGGGTTGGAGCTCTTCTCAGCCCTGGTTAGTGATGAGAGAGAGGGTGGGTGCATTCCAGAGACTCCCTGAGGCCCTGCTGGGATGTAGGTGGGGCAGGTGGGGCTGGAGAAGCTGAGGCTGG